GACCAGTAATATTTGGGGTCCCAAGTTTTTGCCATGGATATTTTGTGGGTCAGATGATAAAAAGTTTGGGAACCACTGCTCTAGACCAAACATCTTGAAAATGACTAATAGACAGTCATAATGAGAATTCCATCGAACCAGGATTGTTGCAGACATGCTGATACCTGCCAAGGTATGTGTCCATCTACCTCCAAATTAAAGGAGCAGCAGATGATGTAGAAAGGGTATGGTAATTAAAACTGTTCATGGTGAAGAATTCTCAGTTCCTTGTTGAGGAAGGATCCAKGTTCTGGTATTGGGATGTTGGGATGGGCAACTTATAGCAAATGATGGAAGGGATGGATTGTAATTTTTTGTTCACACAGAGGGGCACGCAACATAAAACAGCTATATTTATTTATTTATTTGTTGGTTGGTTGGTTGGTTGGTTGGTTGTTTGGGGGGGGGGGGGTCACCCATGGACCAAATGTGGCCGCCACTTTCCCATCCCTGTACCCATGGCACAATCTGTTTTTATGACATCTTCCACGCCTTTTTTTCTTTTACTTTCATACTTATATAGTTAAAGTGCCAAAAACACAAAGTGACTCACTAAAAWCTGATTTGCTTGGATACAAACTTTGCCCTCTGGTATGACTCCTTATCAGAGTTCAGTATATTGTGGCTCCGCGTGCAATAATAATGGTTTATCTATTAAATTCCTGGTAGGCAGCTCACTGAGCAAACACTGCGCCCAAACTCAGGAGAAGAGACGTGACTGTCGTGTCTGTCTCCACACCACCATGGGTCATATGCTATCYAAGCGACCGCAGGCCCAGGTTCTCCTCCTCGGTCTGGACAACGCCGGGAAGTCGACGCTCCTCTACAAAATAAAGCACAACGTGAGCGTCAGCACCGTGCCGACCATCGGCTTCAACGTGGAAACGCTGGAGGCCCGGAGGAACGGGAAGCGCATCGCCGTGACCCTGTGGGACGTGGGGGGCCAGGCGACGATGCGCGAGCACTGGCAGAAGTACCACCAGAACGTAGCGGCCGTGGTGTTCGTGGTGGACGCCTCGGACCGGCGGCGCTTGAGGGAGGCGCGCGGGGAGCTGGGGAGGACGCTCGGGAGCGAGCAGCTGCGCGGCTGCCCGCTCGTCCTGCTCGCGAACAAGCAGGACGTGAGCGGCGCGTTGACCGTCACCGAGCTGAAGGACAAGTTCAACCTGAGGAAGGTGTGCTCCGGGAGGGACTGGTTCGTTCAGCCCTGCTCCGCGAAGACCGGGGTTGGAGTCGACGAGGCCTTTAAGAAAGTGGTCCAAATGGTCAAACTCCCCTCGGAGGCTGTGAAGGACAATATCAAAGAAACGGTGCACTGCCTTCGACAGACCAGCAGACAATGAGCTTCATTTATTTGTAGACACATTATAGACACTTCTGTGATGGACTCCGACCTGTCCAGGGTGTACCCCGCCCCTCGCACTGTGACTACTGCTGGATATGGGCACCAGTGACCCACGCGACCCTGAAA